AAAAAAAAAAAAAAAAAAAAAAAAAAAAAAAAAAAAAAAAAAAAAAAAAAAAAAAAAAAAAAAAAAAAAAAAAAAAAAAATGCAAGCCACATATTTAATTTAAAAATTTATCTCTGCCACATAAAGTAAAAATAAAGAGGTAAAGATTTTTTAAAAATTAAAAAAACAAATAAATAAAATAAAGAGGTAAGTCTGGGTGCAGTGGCTCAGGCCTGTAATCTCAGCACCGTGGGAGACCAAGGTGGGCGGATCACTTGAGGTCAAGAGTTCGAGACCAGCCTGGTCAACATGGTGAAACTGCCATCTCTACTAAAAATATAAAAATTAGCCAGGCGTGGTGGTGGGTGTTGTAAATCCCAGCTACTCAGGAGGCTTAGGCAGGAGAATCACTTGAACCTGGGAGGCAGAGATTACAGAGATCGGGCCACTGTACTCCAGCCTGGATGACAGTGCGAGACTCTGTCTCAAAAAAAAACAGGTAAAATTAATTTTATTAATTAAAATTAAAATTAATTTTAATAATGTATCTTATTTAACCCAGTATGTTCAAACTATTATTTTTCAACTGTAGTCAGTATAAACATTATTAATGAAATATTTTATATTCTTGTACTGAGTTTCTTAAATCTGGTATAACTGTGAGAAATTCTGGGTAGCAGTGTGGTCTTCTGGACATTTGCCTATTGTGTCTTCTATTAGTTATGTAACCCTGCAGGGTTACAATTAAGACACACTGCCCTGCATTCAAGCCTAATATGTATAAAAACCAATACAGCATAGAAGTTAAGAGCATGGAGTGGAGCTCCTACAAATAGTGTGGGATTGGTAAAGTCATTTAACCTCTCTGTTCTGCGGTTTCCTCATGTGTAAGATGGGGATAATCATAGAGCTACCTTAAAGGATTGTTTTGAGAATTAAATAAAATTTAAGTTAAAAATAAAAATTTATTTGTTTGTTTTTGAGATGGAGTCTCACTCTCACTCTGTCGCCCAGGATGGCGCGCAGTGGTGCGATCTCAGCTCACTGCAACCTCTGCCTCCTGGGTTCAGGCAACTCTCCTGCCTCAGCCTCCCAAGTAGCTAGGATTATAGGCATGCACCACCCTGCTCAGCTAATTTTTGTATTTTTAGTAGAGATGGGTTTCACCATGTTGGCCAGGCTGGTCCTGAACCCCTGACCTCAGGTGACCCGCCCACCTTGGCCTCTCAAAGTGCTGGGATTACAGGCGTGAGCCACCGCGCCCAGCCCAGAATTTACATTGTATTAGGTATTATAAGTAATCTAGAGATGATTTAAAGCATTCATTTGGGAGGATGTGCATAGGTTATATGCAAATACTGTACTGTTTTTTTTTTTGAGACTGTCTTGTTCTGTCTGTCACCCTGGCTGGAGTACAGTGGTGCAGACATGGCTCACTGCAGCCTCGACGTCCCCGGGATCAAGTGATCCTCCCGCCTCAGCCTCCCAAGTAGCTGGGATCACAGTCAAGTGCCTCCATACCTGGCTAATTATTTTATTTAATTTTTGTAAAGATGGAGTCCCCTTATGTTGCCCAGGCTGTACTGTGCTATTTTATATGAAGGACTTGAGTATCCTTGGGTTTAGGTATCCCTGGAAGGTCCTGGAACCAATTCCACACAGATCCCAAAGGATGACTACAGAACCTTTTTTTTTTTTTTTTTTTTTGAGATGAAGTCTCACTGTGCTGCTCAGATTGGAGTGCAGGGTACAATCTCAGTTCACTGCAACCTCTGCCTCCTGGGTTCAAGTGATTTTTCTGCCTCAGCTTCCCAACTAGCTGGGACTACAAGGTGTGCACTACCACAGCTGGCTAATTTTTGTATTTTTTAGTAGAGACGAGGTTTTACCATATTGGCCAGGCTGGTCTCAAACTCCTGACCTCGTGATCCACCCGACTCAGCCTCCCAAAGTGCTGGGATTATAGGCATGAGCCACCGTGCTCAGCCAGGAACCATAATTTCTTTTTTTTTGAGACAGTGTCTTACTTTGCCACCCAGGCTGGAATGTAATAGCGCAATCTTGGCTCACTGCAGGCTTGACCTCCTGGTCTCAAGCGATACTCCTGCCTCAGACCCCCAAGTAGCTGGGACTATAGGTGAATGCCGCCATGCCCAGCTAATTGTGTTTTTTGTAGAGATAGAGTTTCGCCATGTTGCCCAGACCAGTCTCCAACTCCTGAGCTCAGGTAATCTGCCTGCCTCAGCCCCCAAAGTGCTACAATTACAGGTGCGAGCCACCACACTCAGCCTAGAACCATAATTTCAATAACAATTTATTTATTTATTTATTTATTGAGATGGAGTTTCACTCTTGTCATGTAGGCGGAGTGCAATGGCGCAATCTTGGCTTACTGCAACCTCTGCCTCCCGGGTCAAGTGATTCTCCTGCCTCAGCCTCCCGAGTAGCTGGAATTACAGCCACCTGCCACCACACTGGGCCAATTTT